TAACGCACCTTTGAGCCGTGCACACACTCATGTGCTCGTCTGGAGCTAACATGTTTCCTGTGGTCAGACATGACCAACACTCAGCTGAACACAAGAGCATTATGACCCGTTTCTGAAGACGATTTTCTCTCCACAACTTGAGTTTTATTTGTATTCTAGTGGTGAAAGATGGCACCACTGGGCTGACAAAAGAGAGTAACAGATGATGGATGATGGAAATTTAAGAGGCCTCTTGGGCAGGCCACTGAACATCAGCTCTCATATTTATTCCTCTCCTTGGGGTACGATAACAGGCAGTGGGAGAACAACTTGGTGATCCAACATTTACTGCTTGTAACAAGATGTGATGTGCTACATGATGCTTCACATTCTTTACTGTGAATGAATGAATGGGTGTGAATGATGATCTTATGCAGCTGTGCATGTTGATAATATTTGCAGTTCACTGCAGTAAACACAGGAGGTCCAGATGAAATCAGCATCAGATATTCTGCATCTCCTCTTGCCTCTCAAGATGTTTGCTCTCATTCAGTTCCTCTCCAAAGACGAGGAAACTGAATGCAACAATAGCCCTAAACCTTTGAGATAAAGCAAATAACTGCAGCTTATACAAGTGATTTGAGTTGGTTTGCTTTTTATCTGTTGTAATCCCAGTAGAAATATCAGATGCATGCAACTCATCAAACAGTTTAATAAACAAGCCCGACTGGTGGGTAACGCTGTCTGCTCACAAACTCCTGAGAGTCACTTTTATTTACCTTGCTTTCCTTTACCTGAGATGTCAATAAAATGTTTTCAGGTCAGGAGAGTTTGAAGAAAATAACCCTTTCTGATGTGGCCCCAAACTCCTAAAAATAATTAAGAAACACAAACTTCTAGTTAATTTGTCATCATCTTTTATAGACGTGGAAGTTACCAGAAATCTACCAAAAGGCAGGTTGGAGACTCCCCAGCCTGAGAAGAGAGGTCACCCCGAGTTTTAAACTGGGTCTTAGGGACCTTCAGGAGGTTCAGTGTCAAAGACTGAAGGGTGCGGGCTGGAGAATAAAGGCTTCAGTATACTCGCGCGTCCTGTCAGCCACGCGGAAACTGTGCGCACTGTCTGCAGAGGGTTCAGACTTCATACGCGAGCATCCACCCTGACCGGCTGGAGAGCCGCTTCACAGGCAAGGGGCGTTTACCTTCGGGACAAATTGAGGTCGCTGATTGGTCATTTGCTGACACGCCTACTGGATTGATTGACAGGTCGCCCCCCCAAAAAAGAGAGTTGACAGCAAGAAGCAGCGGTGTTCTGTGTTTATATGTTAATAAAAAGTTCTAAAAAAAAAAAAAAAACAGGGAGCGCTGGCCCTGCAGCCCACACATCAGACCAGCCCACCAAAAACTCTCCAGACCCTCCTGCAGCCACGCCGGACCTGATTTTAATTTGCTCGTGACAAATTCCTTCATTTCTCAACATTTCAATCATGGTGTCAACGGAGGAGGAAGAGATCGCTGGCCTTTTTAGGAGAAAAAAAAAAGGCCAGAGCAGGGATGAAGTATGCCCGAGTATACTGGAGGCTTAAGGATCAACATTTCAGTGATGTATTCCATTTAAAGCTCCACCTGAAATGAGGATCCACAACCTCTCCTCCTCCACCATAACCCTCAGCACTGGCTCCCCTCAGGGCTGTGTGTTGAGCCCCCTCCTGTTCACTCTGCTCTTGTATGACTGTGCACCTACTCATCCAGGCTGTCATATTGTAAAATTTGCAGATGATACAATGGTGGTGGGATGCATCACGAACAATGATGAGTCCAGCTACAGGCAGGAGGTGGAACACCTGGAGAGCTGGTGCAGGAAAAATAACCTTCACATCAATGTGAAGAAGATGAAGGAGATGGTCGTGGACTTCACACCTACCCCCCACCCCCAAAAATAGGAGGATCTGCGGTGGAAATGGTCTCCAGCTACAAGTACTTGGGTGTACACTTGAATGACAACATCAGCTGGAGCAACAACACCACCAGCCTGATCAAGAAAGCTCATCAGATACTCTACTTCCTCAGGCGGCTGAGACGAGCTGGACTCAGTCCTCACCTCCTTCTACAGGTGTGCAGTGGAGAGCATCCTGTGCTCCGGCATCAACGTGTGGCATGGAGGCTGCACAGCTGCAGAAAGAAAAGCTTTGCAGAGAGTGGTGAAGGCTGCACAGAAGACTATTGGAGTCAGTCTCCCCACCATCACAGACATATACACCTCCAGATGCAGGAAGAGAGTCACCTGCATCATGAAGGACCCCACTCACCCAGCACACATACTTTTTGCCCCACTCCCCTCAGGAAGGAGGTTGAGGAGCATTAAGTGTAGAACCACTAGACTGAGGAACAGCTTCTACCCTGAGGCTGTTAGACTCATGAATCTCTAACCAGAATAATCACTGTGAAAAAATCACATCATGTTGCTGCTGATCTGTTCCATGTTGCTGCTGATCTGTTTCAATGTTGCTGTGTTTATTCATACTCATCTGCTCACACAGACTCATGTTCGTGCTGCTGTTCGGCGTAGCTTAGTGTATTTTTAGTTTATGTTTTTCTTAGTTCATATCTTAGATCTTTTTACTGTTTTTCTTTAATAATTTATACTTTTGTTGGATGTAACTGGGACTCTGTGTACATAGTTTCATTCCATGTGGTGGAATGACAAATAAAAACCTTGAATCCTTGAAATGAATTCCACATGTAAATAAGTCATTGGATGTCTCTGTTGTAAATTTTTATATAGAAATAGAGTTTATTTCTGACAAAACTGATGAGCTACTGGCTAGTCTGAGCAGGTCAAGATCAAAGTGGATTGCTTAAGTTTCATTAGTTTATTACACTTTTTTACACCACGCTCACTTTAACATAGCACATGTTTTCTGGCAGAAGTGGCTGAGGCTGCATCAGCAGGGCCGCTGCTATTAGCACATGTACTTAATGAATTAATTATATGCATTAAAAAACAAAGCCAAATAATCAGTGATGCAAATGTTCATTAACTGCTGTCAAATCCTAAAGGTTGGACACTTAATCTCATTAATCCAGTCACAAACATTTTTTTAACCTGAGGTTGTTCTGTCAGGATCATTTTTTGTTTTTTGGTCTTTTGGGTTTATTCTGTTTTTTAGTGATGATTATTTCCTGTGTTTAGTTTCTGTCAGTTCATTTATCCTGTACTTTTCCTCAGTCTGCTCCACAGCTCTTGGCCCCGCCCACTCACACCTGTTCCCTGTTTCATTTTGCTCAGTGGTTTCCCATCTGGTTGTCAGTCTCTGTCCGTGTTCTCTCGGTTTTTGTTCATTCCTCGGTTGAGCTTTGTGTCTCTGTGTGTACGTCTGGTTCTCCTCTGTGAGTTGTAGTTCTGTTTTTCTGCAAGTTTTTAATCAAGCTCCTCACGTCTGCGTTCCTGGGTTTAAACCCTGAAAACATGACACGTTCAAAGAGCTAACAAGTAAGATCACCCTTCATCTGAACCCCACTTCAAATTATCTGAACTGTCACTTTTAGCCTCTTATCATCATGTCTTGTATCCAAAGCTTTTTAAAAAGTCAGGCTTTGGATTTCGTGCGTAAAGAGTTATTGTGACTCCAGTAAAAAGCAGCAGTGTCACCATTCCCTGTTCTGACAAGAGAGAAGTCAGCAGTGAACTTTGCTCCTCACGTCAAACCAACATTTCATTCCCAAACATTGTGAGGCAAACGAAAATCAGCTTTTCGTCTGCAGCGTCATTTCATATCCGACCTGCAAATCAAGGAAAACAAAAGAATTAGGAAGGATTCCATCTAAATCTCCCAGCGGATCTTTAACTTCTACAGAAGTTAAACTTTCTCTGCTCATACGGACACGACGACTCGCTGCTTCTGCTCCCAAATCAGATACATGTCACTGTGCATCGGGTCGAAAATCCATACTTATAGGAGTTATTTTAGTGACAACGGGACCTTTTGTTTCTCTGGAATAGCTGCAGCTCTGACAACAGAGCCCTGTTTGAGCTCGTATTAGCATCTAGTGCTACACCCTATCTTTGAGGACAGTGTGGACATTGTCTCCGTGGGAGGAATGCACTGGATGTCCTCTGCTGTGGGAGCTGGACGGTTTGAACAGATCACCGTCAAAGTGAACATTTCAGGAGCGACAGTTTCATTAAGAACACTTGTTGTTTGTGATATTGTTACAGTAAAAACGTTAGCGTGGCTTTACATCCAGGTGGCGTCCGTCACGTTGCCTCTTTCAAAGCATGTCAAACAGATTGGACATTTTTAACCTCGCTCTTATAAGAAGAAGGGATTAACCCACTGTCTGTGGAGTTTTTCCAAGTTTAAAGTTTCCCCATTTAGTTTGACAGGATTTTCTTTTTCAAACATTTCTTTCCTTTTTTTTAACAATATACAAAAATAAGAAACACAAACGAACAAACAAGCAGCCTCCACTCTCAAAGAAAAGGATCAAGAAAAAATAAATAAATCTTGTCAACATAGAAAACCAAAAAGTAGAGAGAGAGAGGGAACCTCCAAGGAAACAAAATAAAAATATACCAACTATAAACCAGAAAATAAAGGAGGGAAAGTAAATAAGTAAATAATACTAATGTCAACTAGTCTGGTACAGAGGAAAAGTTGTTCGTTTAGCCAACAGTTGCAATGGTTGCCAAACATGCGTAAGCTGCTCATGAGAGCCATGTAGTGACATCGTGATGTTCTCAAGTTTAAGGAAGTAAAGAAGATCCCTGAGCCCTTTGACAGGATTATAAATGCACCTGCTTCAGAGTAGTTCACATTGGCATAAAGAAACAGGTTGTGACAGATGTTTTTCTTGAACGTCACAGTTTCTGTTTTTTCCAGTGTAAAGAGTGAAACGTTAGGTCTGCTGGTGTGCACTGCAGCAGGAAGGCCTGGCCCTGTGAACGGGGCCCATTGTGCTGCTCTGGTTTGTGCCATGAGGGCCCGAGCCCATAGATGACCCTTGTTGTTTCTGCGCAGGCCTGGGCGCCGCAGATGCCAACCAGAACAATGGCTGCGTCTCGGAGAAGCCGGCGGTGACTGACTCCGAGGGCCCCCGCCAGCCCTGGATCATCGCCAGCACAGCTGACCCTGACGCCGCCACACCACGCCCCCACCTGGTCCGCCTCTTCTCCCGAGATGCCCCGGGCCGAGAAGACAACACCTTCAAAGACCGACCCTCCGAGTCGGACGAGCTGCAGACCATCCAGGAGCACAGCGGAGCGGCTTCGGAGTGCGGGTCGGAGAGCCCTGAGCAGGACTTAGAATAAGCTGACTTTTTATTCCTCCCTTTCCTCTCCTTTTTCTTTTTCCACCTTCGAGCTTCGCTCTCTCTCTCATTCAAGGGAGAGACTTAACGCCCCACATTTGACAAGTACAAAAATACAACCAACTACTCCTCCAAGCATGGCATCTGCAAGCAGCTCCGCTCAGGCTGCCTTCGGACTGGGCCGCAGAAAGAAGAACCCCGGGCTCCTGGATCAGATTGGGAAGTTCTTTGGAGGAGACAAGAAAAGGAAGAGCAAGGTGAGGAAGAGGAGGGTGTGTTGAGGTAGAAACACCTCAACCCCTCTCTTATCTGTCGCATAACTCTGCTGATCCACCCCCAGAGCCGCTTTGGATTTTTTAACACGTGCTGTAAGAGTTTAACGCTTTAAGTTTGGTTTTATTGCTGTTTTGATTGTGATCCCAGGTCTGGAACTGTCCTGAGCTTCAGATCAGCTGAAATGACTTGATGGAGTTTGATCTGTTTTATATGAGACAGCAGGCTCTGATTGTTTTCAATCATTTAAATATTAGTTTTTTAATTTTATTATGGTACTGACGTTAGTAGCATTCCTTCAGTGGGTGTGATGTTTTATTGTTTGTTGTTTGTTTATTAGAACGTTTGTCAAACTGGAGAACAGCTTCAGGTACCTCACCCTCTGATGATCTTTAAGTTAACAAATCGTCATTGGGGCGTGATGTCTGCTCCTCTGCAGGTGTCAATTCAAGGCCCCGCCCACACGCTGGATACTTCAAAAAGCTGAAACTGTCTCCTGGCGTTGCAAATGATTTGCTCAGTAGTTGTTGAGTGTTTTTGTGCACGCCCTTGAAAAAGCTAAACAGTGGAGTCATTTTACCTGTGCTTTTTTTCTTGTGTCTGGCTTGTTATTCTGACCTTGTCACCGTTATGTTTCATAATTTAGTGCCGCAATGATAAAAATGGTAAATTGTGAATAATATTTTTAAAAAGGAGACTCTTTAGTCAAACTAGGAACGTTTTTTTTTCTGTATTTGTAGTGCATTCATTTTATTCAAATAGTGTAGACTGACACAAAATGTAAAAAAATAATAAATTATATAAAACAGAAAATATCTGTTAAAGTAAAAAGCAGAACGGGGATGGGCATTTCAAGCAAAAATGGTCATAAAATGTGTCAGAAACTATTAAATTTTTAGAATATTCTAAAAACAAATAACTGTGTGCACGTGGTTGGAACTCGCGCTGAATTAATTAGTACTCGCCCAGTTGTACAACAGAGGTTATGGGTCCAGAGATGTGCACTGGTGCTAATTCTGCTAGCCGGGATCATTGCACGCCTTCACCGGTCCAGTGGATCAACATCAAGGCTATCACACATTCTGACAATAAAACCAAAACAATGAAGCTTAATCCTCTCAATAGAAACTACAAAGGCAGAAAATGAAGCTCCAACTTTATTTTTTGTTTCACTGGTCCGGTGTGGGCAGCACGGTGGCTCAGTTGGTGGAGCTGCTGCCGCTCAGCGAGCAGGTTGCCCCAGTTCAAATTCTGGTCTGGGGGCCTTTCTGGGTGGAGTTTGCATGTTCTCTCTGTGCATGCGTGGGTTTTCTCCGGTTTCCTCCCGCAAACCAAAAACATACATGTTTGTCTGATTGGTAACTCTAAATTGTCTCTAGGTGTGAGTGAAAGAGTGAATGGTTGTTTGTCTCTTTGTGTCCCTGTGATGGACTGGAGACCTGTCCAGGGTGTCCCCCGCCTCTTTCACAGTGATGGATGGATGGTCCGGTTGGTTTTTTGGGGAGTGGATGATGGGCGTTGCATTTGATAAAAACCACACCGTCTGGAAAAGCACCGTGAAGAAACAGCTTTTAAGTGTCAGAGAGTCAGAGAGAGAGTTTCTTCATTGTCATTCGCACCTCATGTGGTACATGTGGTGGAGCGAAATTATGTACACAGGGTCCCAGTTACATCCAACAATAAAATGTATAAGAAAAACAGTAATAACATCTAAGATATGAACTAAGAAAAACATCAACTAAATGTGTTGTGTGTTAATGTAAAGTGTTGCGAGTAAAGAACAAAAAAAGTTAATTATGACTTAAATAATTCTTCAAATTCGCCTGTTTCAAGTCAGTGCCCGTCCCCGTAGCAGAGCGGCGTAGACGGGGCCGAAGTCACAGAGGGAGGTAGTTTCAGCTGTCTGCTGAGCTCAGTTTGCTAAAGTCACTTTTAAAGTTAAGAATCACGTTATATTATAAATGATCAAAGAAATTTATTTATGTAATTATATTGTTTAAAGTATATTTGAATAGGAAATTTTAATTAGTTTTAAAATCAAGAAATATTTTGTTTTAAACTATGAGTGTTGCCGACGAATAGATTTTAATATTAGCTCCTAATTACATTTTACCGTAACCATTCGAAGTTGCCGGTAATACGGAGATGCTAGCCTCTCCTTTTAGGCCTGTTTTGGTTCCGTTTGAATCCCCGACGCCCGTCATTCAGTTACCTGGACGACTGGCGGTTTGCTTGTGTCACGGCTAAACACGAGTGCGCTTCTTCTGCTTCCAGCTCTCTCAGGGACGACGTGCTCAGCAGCGCCCCCTGTAGGCGGCAGCGCACGACACGCTCTGAACAAAATAGACGCTTCTTTCCACGTTTAGCTAATAGGTGCGCTTTTACCGCTAACTGCAGAGAAATCACCATGAAGCAAGGAAATATGCATTTCTCCCATGCCTTATAACAAGTGACGTTTGAAAACAAGATTTAATATAAAAATGGTTTTATATTCATGTAACATATCAGAGCTTTAGTCTGTTCTGCTGATCAGATCATATTTAACTCAAACATTCAGGGAAAAGTTCAACAGAGCAACAGATTTTATGAATTGGCCGCTGTATTTGTATGATTATCTCGCTTTTAGCGTGTCGTTCTTAACAGAATTTTATTTTAAAAGTTAAATGAACTTGTACAGATATATAGATAGATTGCTGGCGCTGTTTTCACCAAGGGTTTGCCTTCAAACAAGCACTTCCTAAATATCAATGACCCGTTCACCCCACCTCTGCTGCCTCCAACCAATAAAAATAAAAATTACAACAAAAAAAACTGCACTATCATCCTCCTGCAAATATTTACTTCTCTGAAAAGGTTTTCTAGAGAAAACAGACGTCTTATTTATCTTGTGTGCATGTAATTCCCACATATTTTGAACTCCTGGTTGGACTCAGACTGCAGTATTACTGAGACAGTTGTGCCGGTGTTTGTCGGTAGAAAATGAGCATGCATGTTTTGTTCCGGGGATGTTTAATGGTTTGCTTTCTTGGCGAGCATGGAGTCATTTCGTGCGCCCATTTCTTGTGCTTTTAAAAAACTGTCTTTTGCCGTTTTAACCACTCCTTTTCAACGTGAAAGCAGATGTTTTGTGAAACGTGAGATGGCGTTGTAAATAATACAAAACCTCGGTCTCTGGACACCGAGCATCTGCAGAAAGTCTTCGGTGAAATGCAAATGACTTAGTGATCATTTCAAGCCATGGGGACAATGACGTGGAGGGAACATTAAGTTTGCATGAACAGTAGCTATTTAAGCAGAACTAAAGACTGAGAGATAACAGAATACATTGTATGGTATCCTCATTTGTTGAACGGTACACAGAATCAGCTGTTTGATGCAGGAGTAATGTCCAAGCTGTTCTACCCCAGTGTCTTGGATGAGGGAGGGACGGTCCGACACCCCCTCTCACATCAGCTTGCTCACCTCAGGGTCAGGTGTGTTTGAACCGGTCTGTGAATACGTCGTGGATCTGTGCCGATCTACTGTTTGCATTGGATTATTCAAACTGTTGGAATGTGTTGTGACCCGTCTCTGGTCTGATCTGTTCCTGAGCTTTTTGGATTCATGCTTCATTAAAAGTCTTTAACAACAACCCTCAACACTCTCTTTTGTTTTCTCTTTTATTTGAGCTTCATGTCTCGGACACGTTTAACATCCCGCTAACATCTTTAACAGCCGCTCTGAACCCAAACAAAGACTTTTTTTTTGTCTGCTGTCAAGTTTGAACTTAAGGAAAGTTTGACGTGTTCCACAGTTCATTCCCTCTCACAAATACACGGCAGACCAAAAGGAGTTATCAAGGAAGGCGTAACGGAAAGCAGAGCGACTGTTTATCTCCACACAGATAGAGCTCAGTAATGGATGACTGCTTCGGCTTGTTTATGTGTGCCTAAAGATTAAATTGCCAGGAAATAGATGAAAACATTTGCGGTCTGCCTGCCAAAAGAGAGCCTAATTCTCTGTTCAGAACAAGCTGATTGCTCCAGTTTTCTGGAGAAACGTGAAGAGAAATAAGTTAAAGTGGACTCCGATCAATGTTACTGGTTAGAGCCTTAAAATGGACATCTTGGGTGGTGTTACCATGAACACTGTCATTTTGAAGACATTCAGGAAACGTAAGATCAATAACATCCATTATAGATCCAAAATGGCATTCGTGGAGTTTTATTCAATTATATTCATGCTTTGGTTGCACCAAAATGAGCGCTTTGGCAGAAGAAACTGTTGTCTTGTAATACCAAACAAGGATTTGAATTCATTTGAATGCAAATTTAATGCAAGCTGCAAATGACAGACACAACAGAATTATTAGCAGAACCGCTTCATCAGTCACACGAAGAAGATACTGCGACCCGAGTGCTCAATAAATCAAGAAAAACGCATTTGTGGCTGCAGTTTTTCCATCGTAACGTCAAGTTTGCCGCCATGTAGAGAACACCTGAATGTTAATAAGTTAATTAGGGTGTCAGGTTTTTCTACAGAAATGACATTTGCAAAATTGTAGTTCTTAAAATTGAGAGAACGTCAAGAATGAATCAGTACCAGTAATTTAGCAGGACTGGAACGTGCTGTAATTAAATAGCGATGCTTTAGGCAGACAGTTAATGCAGTTAATGCAACCAAAACGTGTATGTCACAAATTTAAAAGCACCTCCACACCCTTTCAAATGTTTAACAGAACCTAAAAAATATTCACAAGTGTTCAAAAGACCCAGCGGGCTTCAGAAGAAAAATGTGTGCATCTTCAACTAGATCACCTGTGTCGCATGTTAACCAGATTATTCTTTCTCAGTTCAGTCCATGAGTACGGCTCAAAAATAGACCCTTAAAAATAATAATTAGCTCCATCTTCCTGTACTTGAAACGGACCCCACGGTGATAAACGCTGGCGTCCTGCACAGTTCAGGGGAAATAAGAAACAAGAGTCTTTGTCTCCACATTCAGTAACCATGACAGCACCGATAAGCTGAGAACAAATACATGACGTTAGAAGAAGAAAATCTCCTGTATGTTGCATCGGGGGACATTTTGAAGTTCTACTCTTCTTGGTAAATGCTGCTTTACAACAACGTAGATACTCAGTGACGAGCGAGGTAAGTGAGAAGTCAGAAGGAGTTTTGAAGATGCGAAGTCGTCTCCTTTTTAGGAATAATTAATAAGTATTCATAGTAAAGCTCATTCTTTATCACTCTGACCTTTAACCTGAGTGAAGATGTCTGATGATCATTAGCCAGCACAAGTTCAGGACCAGTAAAGCACTGAATTCTGATTCATGGTTTCACACTGTCCAGCACGAGTTTCTGAATTTAGCTTTATCACGCAGTTGATTGATGTGCTTAGTGACCCTTTACTTTTTAAAATAAAATTAACTTACACATTGAAGCACTTCATTTTGTTTACTTCACATTTTTATTTACACCACCTTTGTTAAAAAATAATAGGCAACATGTAAATGGGCTGTGCTTATATATCACTTTTCTATCTTATCAAGATATTCAAAGCTCTTTACAATCTGTGCCCTCATTCATACAGCACTCTACTGTATCTATACAAAGAATAATCAGATTTATCACATTCATGCACTGATGGGACACACATCGGATGCAATGAGGGGTTCAGTGTCTTGCCCAGGGACACTTCAGCATGTGACTGCTTGTGGAATTGAACCCCCAACTCTTGCAATGGAGGACGCCTGCTCTAACCACTCATCCACATCCGCCCTAATGAACTAATTAATCATCAGTAAGATCATAATAGCTGCACTGAGAGTTTACTCTTATCAACATGCTAACCGTTGTACTGAGCTTTTACAGAAGGGGATAATGGCCACGGTGGTCACAGTAATGTTTTCTCAGCATTCTGAAATTAAAGTCAGAATTCTGAGAAGTTATTTATTTATTTATTTTTACCGTGAGCCAAATCCTCTTCTGTAGCTTTTACTTATGGCAGCATGTTAAAAGTTTTACAGAGATTTTACTATTAATAACATGGTAATAATTGTACTAAGCTTAGTAATGGACTACATGGTTGCACTGAGTTGACACTATTAGCAGCATGCTAATAGTTGTATTAGATATTTCCTGTTTGCAACATGCTATAATGCAAGAAACAAAAAATCAGTACGCAAAAATAAATTAGTGTTGTTCAATTCTGACCAATCGTATGCATAATTTGGTAAAATGTTATCTTAACACAAAACATTAAACCTGTTTAAAATAATTTCTACTGTCCAAACAAATGAGCTCGTTTTGTGACAGCAGAATTATAAGAAGCTCAGTTCCAGTAATCTGTCTAGCCACCATAAATCCTGTGTGCAGTCTATTAAAATGGATTTAAATGAGTTATCTGTGTCACTCTGCGCCCATTATGTGCATTTTTCAACTAAAATGTTCATTAGTAACCAGATATTCATCACTACTGACGTTATAATAGTTTCTGAAAGCTGACAGAGATTGGCATACGCCCAGCCTTCATCAGTTTCAGTATTGAAAAGCCTTTAGCTTTTTCCCAACATAACAGCAGCTGGAAGTCTTTTTATGAAGCATCCCCTTTCACTCTCTACTCTCACACAGAAAAATTAAATAAAACAGAGGAGAAACAGAACAAACACAGTGTACAGGAGTGTACTTCATTTCAAAGGTACTACTGGTTGAACGTGAAGCTATTAAGACAAATCCTTCAGAATGATTTGATCCCGTTTCTCGTGCCATCTATTCCTTTCGCCTCTATTTTCCCTGCAAACAGAGAAGCATGGGTTGCAGAGGTAGTTCTGTTTTCTCACAACTCTCTTCACTTATTTCTCACATTTCTCATCAGTTTCTACATCTGCAGAGATAGTTATGTAAAATGTAAAAAACACAAAGAGAGAGCGAGACACAGATCCAGAGGACATCATTAAAGGATCTCTTGTCTACCTAGGATTGCTGACGTCAATAAAAAAAATAAAAATAAACCTGTAATATGGTAGTATGAGGGATTTTTTTCTACCTTATTTTGTATTCTCTTGCTTGAGGATTTATCTTCAAAACACATAAAATACAGAGCAGGTCGCATGTTATGAAGTGATGATGGCACTGAAAGCTTCATCCTCAAGTTCTTTGATGTGAAGAAATGAGAAGAAATGGATGAGACTCATGCCTTCCACACATACCGTTGTGTATCTATGACTCGGGGTACATCACCACTATGTTCACACTGCAAGTTTTAATGCCCAATTCCAATTTTTTTGCTCTATTTGATTTTATTTGTGTGTGTGGTTGTTCACATTATAACTAACATGAAACCTCCACCAGACTCCGGTTGAGGCGACCCGCATGTGCAGAAGATGTAACATCATACGTAGCATGCTGTGTTTCTGAAAGTAAATATTGGTGCTAGTACTACATGTTAGCACGTAATATTTTTTTTCCCCAGTACTTGTATTTGATCTTGCCTCAAGTATCGATATGATCTGACACCAGTATCTCATGCTGGTGTAAATTCTAACTCATCCAGCGCAAAGAAACTGTTTTAAAAAGACAAAGCGACTGGACTCCTGTTCTGTAGGCGAAGATGTGGAGTTTCAAGATCTAAACTGGTAATGGCATCGATATTATTGATATTTGGATCAATCTACATACTCCTGCGTCACCGACGTAAAAGTTGGGTGAAATTCAATTTGACTGTTCAGACCGAGGTTGCTTTGAAAACCAGCGGAGAAGTATCTGATTTAGTGTCACACATGAAAACGATCTTGGTTGTGTATGATAAAACATCTTTCAAAAAAGATTTTTCACATTCAGACTGTCGTAAAAAAAAAAATCGCAAAACGGGATGCCTGCAGCGTGAACATAGCCTCACACCTGGGGTGTTCAGTCCTGGTGCTCAAGGGCCACTGACCTGCACGTTTTACTTCTTTCTCCGCTCCAACGCATCTGACCTGAATGTATGATCACCGAACTTCTGAGAACATGACGCAGTAATTCAACTATTGAATGAGGTGTGTTAGAGCAGAGGAACAAGTGGAACATTTAGGGGCACTCAAGGACCAGGAGTGGACACCCCTGACTTACAGTAAGTCACGTCTGAAGACCTTTTGGTCCCATGTCGAGCACGTTGTTCCACCAGGCTCTGTAGTAGGTCCATTTAACTATAGGCTCCACACACTCGTTTATTGTTACTCCTAATAATCCCAGAAAGATTCACTGTTTATAGGTCAAAGGTTTAATGTGAATTTAGCTAAATATTTTTAATGTTTTGTTCTTTTGTTCATGCTTAAAGGGCAGACGATGTAAAGCCCAACTCATCCCATTAAAGTTGGATTTGAAGTGCTCGGTTTTGTGCTCGATGATAAATAAACGTTGCTTTTATTTTGTCAAGATCAACTCATTGACTAGAGCATACTGTTACTTTCAAATGCTCATTTCTACCATTTTTATTCATATACTGACTTTTGGACAAATATTTTAGTTGTTACTGGCCTGAAATTTTGTCTTTGGGATGATTTTGCCAATAATCTTTCTCATTGAATGAATGAATTATTGTTTTTTTCTATTCATAGCAGCTGTAGCCACATCTCTGTCCACCCCTGGGTGTTATCAACTCATTAAAATAAAATGTATCACTTGTTTTTCCTCTGTCTTTTTGAAAAGCCTGTTTAAAAACAAAGAGTTTTCAGACGTAACGAGCTGTATCCTGGGCGACAGTCTAAATCTGGCCAATATTTAGTGGAGTTTATTTTAGATTTGATCAGAGAGCAACAGTTTAGTCCAAGATATTTAGACAGAAATCCAAACCCTTTGGAGAAACATGTCAGTAAGAGTCTTCTGGGAAGCTCCAAATGTACGCCTTCTTATCTTAATTAAAGTTGATAACAGACGAGGAACTTCCAGACAAATCTTCTTGAGAGGCAACGACACTGGTCAGCAAGTCTGCTAATGATATTTAAATCAGGTGCTGTGGCACAACATCTCAAGAGTTTACTCATGAGATGCCGTCAGCTGTGCAATGAGCTCTGAAGCAGAGTGTGAAACATGACAACATGGCTGCAAGATCCTGGTCGTCATCCTAACATCCGTCAGCTCATCCGTCAACGTTCCAAGGCCACGGTGAATAAGGTCTGCCGCTCCTTTCCTTCTTTTCCCAGGGCTCTTTCCGAGGTGCTCTTTCTCCAGCCCCTCAGAAAGCATCCGTGACCTCGCCGCGTAAACGAGGAGGAGAGAACGCCGTGGTCCATTTCTTCCGCACCATCGTGAGTAATGCCCACAGTGAGCCACACCGCTCTAACACTCACAGGCCTCACACGTCAGAAGATTCAAAGTGCTCCGGCAATGTTAGTGCACGCTTTTCCTTCTGCTGCTCCTTCTGTTGCTTCTTTCTTACTCACCAAGTCAAAGCTTCTTTCCTGTCTGCTTTGAAATGTCCTGCAGGTGTCCCCTTCTCGTCCCAAGTCTAGGGTGAGTAGTGCTGTACGTTGTCCACCATTACAAGCGTCTACGAAACACCAACAAAACGCCACACATTTGTAAAACCCTTAAGGATTCTGGTTGATTTTATTAGACGGTTGACAAGACAAACCTGGTTTATTGTGAAGACTCTTTAGAAAATGGTGCATTTGTGCACGAGCACATTTGTGTGACGGATAAACTTTCAAGTACAGTGACTAGAAAAAGTATACGAACCAATAACAAAGCACCAGGTTTTTGTGATGTAAAAACAAGTAAGGAGTAAATAATTGAATTACTTCTCTTGTCTTTTTGTGACATATGTCCGGTACAAATTGACTGAAAAACAAACTAATCTCTTAAATGGGGAAAAGAATGACAAAGTCAAATTAAGTTCATCGCAAGATTTTCCTGACATTTACATCCTCCAGTAAAAGATGTGGTTCACAGTTAAAATACTTTACAGAACCAATTCCTCAGCATCACTGAACACACCCATCAAGATGTGGAGCATATTGTTGAACAACGGGTTACAGAGAACTGGACATTTCTCTAATACTGGTTTAAAAAATAAAATAAGTGGTCACAGCAGCTGCTAAAAGACGAACAAAAACACCGCAGGGATTTCTGGCAAAACAGAAACACGTAATAACCTCCGGTATTCTCCATAACTCTGAACAATTTCTAAAAGTACAAACATGACACATTGCTAAAAGAGTGTCACCCCTAAAATACAACATGGCGGTGCCATCGTGCTGCGGTGTTGCTTTCTGCAGATACAACTAGATTTTTAGTGTGATGGTGATGGGATTGTGATCAGCTCCAAATATTAACCAGTGAACCTTTAATGTTTTAATGACAAAGATGCTGAACATGCATCCTGTAGAGTTAAAGCAGAAATAAATGTTCTGAGTGAAATACACCCAGAGGTTACCCAAGTCCCCAACACCAACAAAACCACATTCAAGAGCTTATTCCTGCATACAGCTCACTGCTTTAAGGTTTTCACATAAAGAGGAGTACGCTGTGTACATGACCTTAGTAAAAGTACACAGTATACTGAGTACATGACCTTAGTAAAAGTACACAGTATACTGAGTACATGACCTTAGTAAAAGTACACAGTATACTGAGTACATGACCTTAGTAAAAGTACACAGTATACTG